CTCCCTGGGAATGGGGCTGCAGGGGGGGAAATTCCAGAGTTGGAATGAGCAGGATCTGCCTGCAGGGTCGCTGTGAGATTCTTGCCTGCACCCTTTTCCCTTGGGCACTGCCGGGTGGGAAGGAGAAAACGAAGTTTTGAGAAAACCCTGCCAGGACAAAAAGTCCTGGAAGTGGCTGAAGCTGCCTGGATGAAGAGCACGGGCTGGAGGTTCCCGTGAGCTCAGCAGCTGCTGAATCCAATCCAGGCTCCCCTGACAAATCCCTGCTGCCACCGGAGCTGGAGGTCACCAGGAAAAAGGAAACGGAGCTCGGGACTTGGGAACAATGGGAGAGATGTTGAGATAGGGCTGGGGACAGGGGACAGCTCCGGGGGCTGCAGGGCTGGGCTGGAGTTTGCAGGGAAAGCTGGACAAGGGTGGGCAGGGAAGCGGTGGGAGACAGAGACAGAGCTGGGGGGGCTGTGCCAAAGGAGCTTCCCCTGGGGAATCAAAAAATTGGGGATTAATCCCTGATCCTCAGGGTTAAATCACAGAATCCAAGACTGGCTTGGGTTGGAAGGGACATTAAAGCTCATCCCAATCCAATATAAACTATGGCAGGGACACCTCCCACTGTGCCAATGTCCAACCTGGAACTGAACATTCCAGGGATCCAGGGGCAGCCACAGCAAATCTGGGAATTCCATCCCAGGGAACAATTCCTAATTCCCAAAATCCCATCAAATCCTGCTCTGAAGCCATTCCCTGGGTGCTGTCCCTCCATTCCCTGGGTGCTGTCCCTCCATTCCCTGGGTGCTGTCCCTCCATTCCCTGGGTGCTGTCCCTCCATCCCTTGGCAATTGTCTCTCTCCATGGTTCCTGCAGCTCCTTCAGGCCCTGCAAGGCCACCCTGAGCTCAGCCCAAAGCTTCTCCTCTCCAGGCTGAACAATCCCAGCTGTGCCAGCCTTTCCTCCCAGCAGAGCTGCTCCATCCCTCTGCTCATCCTGCTGCCTCCTCTGGGCTCTCTGCAGCAGCTCCAGCTCCTCCCCGAGCTGGGACAGGGCTGGGGCAGCTCTGCAGGTGGGGTCACACCTGAGGGGGCACAGGGACACAATCCCAATCCCTTTGCTGATCCCACACTGGGCACGGGGGGCTCTGGGCTGGGGCAGGTCCAGCTCTCCCAGGGCTGCTCCATCTGCTCATCCCAGCCTGGATTCATCCCAGGCTTGCCCTGACTCAGGAGCTGCACTTGGCCTTGTTAAACCTCCTGAGATTCCCATGGGGCATTTCTGGAGCTGGTCCAGGTCCCTCTGGATGTCACCTCAGGGCAGCTCCTGCCACATTCCCCTGAGCTCCCGAGCTCCTGTGCCAGGGCTGCTGCTGCTCCCTGCAGCCATTCCTTGAGAAAAGCCCCGAGCAGGTTTCACATGAGGGCTCCAGCTGGGTCAGGAGCTCGGGGACCGAGTTTGGGGCAGTGATAACAACGTGTAAAACTGAAACAGGATGCCAGAGAAATATTACACGAGATAAGAGCAGTTATCAGCTGTAAAGAATGTTCTGCTCGCTTCTGATTGCTCCTATCTTCTATTTTTATCAGTTTCCTCCTGCTTGTCTCTGAACAAGTTTCCAGGTTTAGCAGGTCTGACCCAGGCAGCTGCAAATAAAGATAGCACTGATAACTCCAGATCCCACAGGGCAGCTCACTGCACACTCACACAGCCTTTGGCTGGGAAGGATTTTCCAGCTGGATTCTTTCATCCCAGGGGTTTGATTTCCCATCCCTGCAGCTCTGAAGATTTCTGCTGGTAAAAAAAAAAAAAAATCCACCTGCTGTGGGTGTCCACGAGATGGGAAAGAAGAGCTTGGAGCTCTCCAGGATGGGGAGGGCAAAGGATGAGCCTTCAATTTTGGCAGGTCAGGGGTGCCTGAGGTCAGCACAGATTGGCTTCCCTGGCTCTGGGCTGCCTGGATAAAAACAGCTGGACAGAAACAGCTGGATAGAAAAATCTGGATATTAATACCTGGATAAAAACACCTGGAAATCAACACCTGGATATAAATATCTGGATGCAAACACCTGGATGAAAACACCTGGATATAAATATCTGGATGCAAACACCTGGATGAAAACACCTGGATATAAATATCTGGATGCAAACACCTGGATAGAAACACCTGGGTATAAACACCTGGATATAAATATCTGGATATAAACACCTGGATATAAACATTGGGATAGAAACACCTGGAAATAAACACCTGGATAGAAACACCTGGAAAGAAACATTGGAATAGAAACACCTGGATAGAAACACTTGGAAATAAACATCAGAATAGAAACAACTGGATAGAAACACCTGGAAATAAACCCCTGGATATAAATATCTAGATGAAAATACCTGGATGAAAACACCTGGATAGAAACACCTGGAGTCATCCCTTGGATTTATTTCCCTCAGCGTTGCACTCACCTTTTTCTCCAGCTGGAATTGGCACCTGGCTGAGCCTGCACCACTCCCACACCTCTGTGGGAGTGGATTCATTGTGGGCAGGTAGAGACAGGTTTAAAACCGACAGAAGGATTAAATTTGAGGTTGAGTTTGCCCAGGGATCCAGGGGCTGCTCTGGGAATTCCATCCCAGCCCCTCCCAGGGAACAATTCCCAATTCCCAAAATCCCATCAAATCCTGCTTTGAAGCCATTCCCTGTGTGCTGTCCCTCCATCCTTGTCCCCAGTCCCTCTCCAGCTCTCCTGGAGCCCCTTCAGGCCCTGCCAGGGGCTCTGAGCTCTCCCTGCAGCTTCTCCTGTCCAGGTGAACATTCCCAGGTGTCCCTCAGAGCCCTCAGAGCATCTCCATGGCTCTGTCTGGACTCACTCCAACATTCCCATTTTTCCATGCCCACTGTCCCTGCATGGAGCTGGAGGTGTCACCAAGCCCTGGGCAGGGACTCCCAAACTCTCCCTGGTGGCTGCAAACCCCAGGAGAGCTCCAGGAGAGGAATTTGCTGCTGAAATGTTGGTGTTTGTGCAGGTGTGGGTGTGCTGGGACAGATCCCAGCCCCTGCTCAGTGGGGTGGAGAGAGGGGACGGGTGAGTGGGTGCCCCCTCCCCTGAGCCTGTGGAACAGGTTGGGAGGAAAAAACAACATCTGAGGCCACGAGCAGGGCTTGAAATTCAGATTTTATTGCTTTGTACGAGTGAAAAAAAACCAGGGGGGAGGAGATAGCTCCAAGATTCCCACGGTGGGAATGCACTGAGGGGTGAGGGTGGCACAGCAAAGCTGAGCTATCAGATCTCCTCTCTTTTTAAATTGCAATTAAATAAAAAGGCAGGGCTGCTCAAAGAAAAAAAAAAATTGCATACAATTAATGCTGAGCATCACACTCTTCACAAATAACCCCCCTTGGAGCTACGAAAATAAAATGACCCAAAATTTATTTTATGAAAATAAAATGACCCAAAATCCCTGAAAATAGCTGGGGTGGAGGGAGAGCTGCAGGAGGGAGCCCTGGGGACAATCTTCATTCAAGGGGTTTAATGTCATGCAAAGTTTTAATGTCATTAAATGTTTTCGTGAATTAAAGGATTTAATTAATTAAAGGGTTTAATGTCATTTTTTGGGTGCAAGTTGAAGCCAAGTCCAGGATCCTGGCTCTGCAGATCCTCTCCCAGGGCAAGTCCTGAAAGGTGAAATCCCAAAAAAGCAGTGCCCAAGCTGAAAAAATCAACATTTTTCCAAAGCTGGGTTTCCATTCCTCTAGAGGGATAATTAAGCTGCTGGAGATTTTCCAAGCTGCTCCAGACACCAAAAACGTGGATCTTGCCCTCAGCTTAATGGCAGGAATTCTAGAAATCTCTTTTTTTCTGTTAAAACCTCAGATACCTGGGAGCTGCAGGAGCTGTGCTAAGCACAGACATCACCTCTGTGTGATTAAAGAGCAGAAATTATGGAATTGCTCTTCCCACAGTGGAAATTTCCTTCCCAACCTGGGGCTGGCACTTGGGGGTTTGTGCAATAATTCACTGGGATTGAAATTCGGGAATTTTGCCCACATCCCCCGTGGGCTGCTCAGGATCCAGCTCCATCCATAGGAAAGAAATTAAATTGACAGCAAGACCAGTCTGGGAGACCTGTTAGGAATCAGAATCATGGAATCACTGAGGTTGGAAAAACCCTCCAAGATCTTTGAGTCCCCAAGTGCCACACCCAGCACAGTTTCCCTCCAAAGTCTGTGTTCTTCCAGGGAAATATTTTTCAGAAAAAAAAAAAAAAAAAAAAAGGGAAACTTTTCCTAATATTTTATCACTGAGAGAGGCGTGATTCTGAAGGAAATAAGTTTGCACAGCATTGTACAATTTATAAAATCATTATTCTAAGCTGGACAAAAACGCAGATGAAATCTTTCAGCTGCTTTTGCTTGGGGGAATTTGGTCTTTCTGGACAACGATTGTCTAAGTCATGCTTGGCAATTAACACCTCTGCCCTGTGTTTGGTTCTAATTAGATCCTAATTAGGCTCGAATTTCACACCAGCAACACCAAGATTTGCCTTTGTAGAGAATCAGAGAATTCCACAATGGTTTGGGTTGAGAGGGAGATAAAACTCATCCCATTCAAACCTTCCAGGCTTCTCCAGCTCCAATGTCCAGCCTGGCCTTGGGCACTGCCAGGGATCCAGGGGCAGCCACAGCAAATCTGGGAATTCTATTCCAGCCTGCCAGGGTTGGATTTATTCCCAAAATCCCATCCAGCCGTGTCCTCTGGCAGCCTGCTCGGGAGGTGAAGCTGATGAGTCCGTGATAATTCCGTGTTCATCCCGAGCTTGGCCCCACGGTGATTCCACCACCGCTGGCACATCCCAGACCCAGCATCTTCACCAGCCTGGCCAAGCTGCTCTGCACGAGGAGCAGCAACTCCCCTGACCCTGCAAGCATCGCTCCCATCATCCCTGCACCACAAAAAAATCCTTTCCTTAGGAACATCCCCAAGGAAAAAAAAAAACAACCACAAAACAAACAAAAAACCCCTTTCCCCTATGGAGATTTCTCCTCAGGGATCTTGCTGCCTGGCTGCTCCACTGCCAGCTGGTTCTCCAGGACACAGCAGAGTTTGCAGCTCTGCAGGATTTTGGCCTGGCAGTAGAGCCTGTCCTGGCGGCTCCAGGTGTCACAGGCGATGTAGGTGTTGTAGGGGTCACGGGGACCCTCGAGGCGCCGCGCCCTCAGGTTTGTCACCATCACCCCCACGGTGAAGAAACCCAGCAGCCCCAGCATGAGCAGCACGTAGATGATCTCCAGGTTGTTGCTGGTGCTCCTCACCTTGGCAGGTGTTGAGCTGTTGTTCTGTTCCAGGCAGTCCTGGAGCAGTTTGGACAGGAGCAGGTTCAGGGCTGTGTTGTTGGGCAGCGCCAACATTTTGGGGTTTTTCTGTCCTCGGAGTCGCTTCCTTCCTTTGGATAGAAAAGGATAAAAAAATCAGATCCAGATGGGATTTCCTCTGTCTCCTTTTGCTGGGATTTACCTGAGGGAGGCTGGCTGGGCCTGGTAGAGCTGCTCTCATCTCCCACCTGCACCTCCACAACACCTGTGGCTGCACAGGTGAGCTGCCGTGGTGTGGGGCTGGCAAACAACTCACCCCCACCTCCAAGTTCAGGATTGACTCCCTGAGCCCCCCAGTCACAGGGACAGCCCCAAATTCTGCTCTAGGACAGGGACAGCACCCAGGGAGAGGCTGGAGCTGTGCCAGGAGGGATTTAGGATGTATTTTAGGACGAGGTTCTTCCCCTAAAGGGTGCTGGGCACTGCCCAGGCTCCCCAGGGAATGGGCACAGAGCTCCAGGAGCTGGGAATGGGGACAGCCAGGAGCACCTGGAAGCCCAGAGCCCTCCAGACACAGCCTCTGCTCTGACACGGTCACACAGGAGGCTGGAGGCTCCTTTTCCCTTTCCTGTGCCACCTGCAAATCAGTAAATTACAGGAATCCTGTCAGCACTGCATTCCCAAATGCCCAGCAGCCAGGCAACATCAAATCATAAAATCATTTTGGGGTTGGAAGGGACCTCAAAGATAATCTTGTCCTACCCCTGCCATGGCAGGGACACCTCCCACTGTCCCAGTGTCCAACCTGGAACTGAACATTCCAGGGATCCAGGGGCAGCCACAGCAAATCTGGGAATTCCATCCCAGCCCCTCCCAGGGAACAATTCCTAATTCCCAAAATCCCATCAAATCCTGCTTTGAAGCCATTCCCTGTGTGCTGTCCCTCCATCCTTGTCCCCAGTCCCTCTCCAGCTCTCCTGGA